GTGCCACGTCAGCAACATGACGGGCCTGCCAGGCCAATTGGCCAACGATCCCATTGCTGACTACAAAAAGCGCTTCCAGGCTCAGCTCGCTGCAATCGAGGCTGAGGAACAACGCCAGCTGGCAGTCAAGGCTGCCCAGCTACAGGCTGAAGAAGAGGCAACAGCAGAGAAGCTGCGGCTACAGGCCGAAGCAGACGCAGATGTCCAGGTTCGCCGCAAGGAAGCCCAGGATCTGCTGCAGCGGCATGAAGCCAGCAACATCGACAGACTTAAGTTCTGGCACTTTAAACCGAACGGCGACGAACCAACACCGGAAGAGAAGCATAAGGAGTTCATGGCCAAGCTCGTGACTAGGTTGGTTTATACTTGTAACCACCTACAGTCCGAGTTGGCGAACCTTCAGTGGGCCGTGCGGAACCATAAGACTCAGCACGAGGATGCCACACGGGCACTGGATGCCCGTGTACTGGACCTGGAACAGGCTGTCCCAGGACCAGATGCTGGGGCTTCCAGCAGTGCATCCTCTAGCCGCCAACTGGAGGAACGCGTTGACCACGTAGTGGCAATGCTAGGAGACATAAGTGCCTTCACAGAGCCGGCCACCATCAGCCAGCGGTTCGAGTTGCTGGACACTAAGATCAGTCAGCAACAGCAGACCGACCACAGCCACAACAACAGCCCGGCAAGGCCATACAAGATGCYGACGTTCCGGATCGAGAAATTTGATGACCACACACATCAAGACCCGGTCGTCTGGTGGCAAGGATTTACAATGGAGTTGGGGATCCACGAGGTCCCTAACCATCTGTTCATCAGTGCTCTATTCATCAACACCAAGGGAGGATGTCAGATTTGGCTCAGCCACGTGGCAACCATCCACGGCGTCCAGGTTTCAGACCTGCATAAGAAGGTCACCTGGGAGGATATGGCAAAGGAATGGAAGAAGCGGTTCATAGTGGATGACGCACCCGYGCTCGCCATCAAYCGCATCTTCGCGATGGCTCAAGGGAGCACACCGACACTTGACTGGCTCACGGATTGGCAGAAGATCGTGGCCACGCCCGATCTGGACTTGCCATTTTCGCATCTGCGCCGTGAGTTCTACAACAGGTCATGCGCCACTCTGAGCCTCGCACTTCGCGAGCAGTACCACACTTTCGCAGAGATCATCAACAAGGCGAGAGAGATCATCAAGACCAACAGCTCAGCTGCACATGAGAAATCAACATGGCATCCGACCTATGTGGAGAAGGCACGAATTGGTCCGCGACAGCAGCACTTCGCTGCAGTCCAGCAGGACAGTGGAGATAACCCAGCAGCCACTCCAGCATCAAGTGACGGAGATCAGGTGGCTGCTGTCCAGCCGCGAAGCAACAACAAGTCCCGCAACAATGGGAAGGCGAAATCCGCATYGCAGGCCGGAAATGGACAGCCAGTACAAGTTTCATGGGTCAAGTTCGGCTTGACCGAGGCGGAGTACAAAGTCCGCGGCCGCTACGGCAGCTGCTATTGGTGCAACAACACCAAGCACAAGACCTCCCGGTGCCAAGATCAGGGCAAGGAGGATGTGCGACCCCGCCTCAGCTCGGGAAACTAAGATCCGCGGAAGGTGAGGCGACTCCACCTTCCACTCCGCCAGATTCGGCCGCCTTGCTAGCRGCCTCCTGCACATCTGGGGAGGACGCGAATGTCGCAAGTTCTCGTTACTCTTACGAGGACTATGCTGTCTACTTGGTTCCACCGCTGGACCAGCCGCTCCACGTGCAACAGTCCACCGCATGCACGGTTTCAHCACCATCGGCAACCGATTCGGCACCTTCGCCGCAATCTATCGCCGGGGATTCGACGTCATGGTCAAGACTTGATGAGCTCGACCCGTTGACGTTCACGGACTTCCAGTGGATGCCCGTTCCCTCGACCGGACGATTGCCGAAACCTCATTGCAATGTGCTCATGGCACAACTGCGGGACTACTTGCATACTGCAGTACCAGCTCCGTTGATGGACGACGGAGTAGAGGTTGTCAACCTTCACGAGTACATTGCGAAGATTGACCGCGAGTTCAAGACGCAACAGTACGACGACATCGACGCACCATTGCTATACATACGCATTCAGATCGGTGAGGCGACCTGAAGTGCCTTGATCGATTGCGGAGCATCTCGCAACTACATCAGCCAGGACTTCATGGTGCGCGTCGGCCTTGACCCACGTGTCCGGAGGAAGTCCCAGCCTACGCAAGTCATGTTGGCAGACGGTCATACGCACAAGTCAATCGACCGGTGCATTGACGCCGTCCCCGTGTACTTTGCCCCTCACGCAAGTGAGGCGGTGTCCTTTGACATTCTGGACACCAAATTTGACATGATCTTGGGCATGTCATGGCTGCGAAGCGAGGATCACCCGGTGAACTTCTTCAACCGCACCGTTCACATTCGGGATCGGAACGGAGTACTAGTTCCATGCACGGTGCCTCTTCCTCATCCTTCTATCAACTGCCACGTGGTATCCGCCGCAAGCATGCGAGCATCCATCATCAGAGACGACATCGAGGAGATGGGGGTATGTTTTCTCCACGCCCTCCCGCCCCGAGACGCTTCATCGACGAACTCATCTTCGGATCCACGCATCACCGAGTTTCTCGACACTTACAGCAACGTGTTCGAAGGCCCGCACGGAGTAGTACCGGATCGGCCCATCCGCCACGAGATCATCCTCGAGGACGGGGCCGTACCTCCGCGC